CTTTGCTGAAGTCCAGAGAGACACATCCACAGCCTTCCCCTCATCCATCAGGTGGGCCACCTGATCATAAAAGGAGATCAGGTTGGTCAGACAGGACCTGCCCTTCCTAAACCCATGCTGGCTGGGTCCGATCCCTTTCATCTCGGTCCATGAGTTGTGGGACCGTGACCCCCTCTTGGAGTGGATTTGGCTGCAGCAGCTGAGTCAGAGCAGCTGCCAGGGATCCCTTCCCACTGGTGGCAGTGGTGAGAAGAGGCTCCCAGGCAGCACCACGGGGAGGATATGCCAGGGTCAACCCCAGACTGCAGGGAGCCTGAGCTACAGTCCCCTCTGTGTCACAGGCATGATTGTGCCTGGCCCAGGGTCCTACACCTGCTGTCTGTGCCATCGCACTGGACTCCCAGCACTCCTTCCCTTAGGTAGCTCTTGGTCCTGGCTTTTCCCTGACACTAAAATTTGTCAGCTGTATCTTAGAACTGTCAGGTCTGTAATACCTCCTTTTTTTGTCTTTTTTCAGTTTCCCTTTTTCTCCAAACCAGTTTTTCCAACTCACCCTCCCCTCTGTGATGGTGGAATTGCCTGCCTTTCCGGCACAGCCATGTCACTCTTGACTCACTGGTCCCACTCATCCTACCTGCTGTACAGCACAGAGCTGAATCCTGCATGACAGTCTCTGACTTCAACCTCAAGCCAGAGGTTATAGAATGCACTGCATCTCAAAATACTGCTGGTCATTCAGACTTTATGAATTGTCTCTTTTTTTTTTTTGAAGAAAAAAATCCCTATACTTACTGCTGACCATGCTGATTTTAATCTTAGATGAAACATTGAAGACTGTGGGAGATGATAGCCTGATTCTTTGAGAGAGCAGAAAAAAATACTGTGAATTTGTCTCTTGCCATACCTTCTGGAATGAGGTGTTTGGTAACATAACAACCTCAGTGCAAGTTTTTGGCAGGCAGAGGGGTGGGGACGTGTAAACTTGGTTTGCATTTTTGACTGAGTCTGCACTGTGGAAATTCACATACATCAATACCCGTGGGACATGCCTCCCAGGATGCATGGCTCTCCATTCCTTTACAGCATACCAACGCCTAAAAATCTGACACAGTTCTACACTTTTTAAACCGTCTTTAGTTGTTAAATAAGACAATCTGACTGAATCACTAAAACAGAGGCTTTATTCTTCTGTCCTCGTCGTCCCCGGATAATGGTGGAAAAGGCATGCAATGTTTACATTAAGACATTTTTATCACACCTAGCGCAATGATTTCTAGGTTACAGGAAAAGAGGCATGCAGGGATCTATTTTATACACTGTTACACACGTCTTTTCAATTTACACACTCTATTCAAACTCTTCGACAACACACAACTATTGCTAAATATATACTGGTATGTATCTCATAAGTGGTGTTAAACAGTCTCTTCTTTCTTATTTTTAACTTTGGTTGTAGGTACTCATCACAGGTAGCAGCTTCTTTTCTCCCTTACACAGACTGTCCAAGATCGCTTGGTAAATTCCAGCGTTATCTCAGGGGCCTCTGGCTGAGTTGCTGTTTCAGGGCCTCTAGCCTGAACACCTCTTTGGTTTCCCACAACAGCACAGACCAAGGACTGGCCAAAACATACCACAGATTTATTTCCTGAAACTGCAGTGGGTGGTGGAAATGGATTGCAGCCACATTTTTACAGAACCGTAATCTGCAACATACAGTTGCCATAGTCATGCAAACCTGGTCAGAGCTTCCCCTTTCATGCTCCTCAGTTTAAACAGATTACCTTACAAATTGGTATGTTAAGGCCATTACTAAGTCTTTGGTATATATACCTTTCCAATAGAATATAACTTTACTATCAAACTCTGCCGCTGTCTTCAGAAGGAACTGGGTTAGATGTTGTCACTGCTCTTGGTTTGCAACTGCAGTATGGTAAGGCTGTAAATCTGGAACAGTACTTTTTAAAAAAAACATAAAATGCATACAACTTGGAGAATGTACGTTGGGTTTGGACTTAGAAGTTTGTTTTGGGAAGATACCAGAAATAAGGTTGTGTTTCAGGACACCAGGTAAACTAATTGTTACCTGAGATTAAGTCACTTTATGTTTTTGGTTCAGGGTTTCACAAACTGCTTCCAGAATTTATTCTCCTTTGCATAGGCAGTGTTATACTTGGAGTTTGGGTCTTGACAGATAGGAAACATTTCATGTCATGTGAGAAGAAATGGATTTCAGAGACCTCGTGTTGTCAAGTCTACCATTTTGTACACGTCCATAATGCAAAACAAATCTGAAGTGAGTCCCCATTGGAAAAATAAAGGTGACACTGGTCTGTTATTACTATTATATATTACTATTATATGTGGGGTGGGGTTGCATTTGAAAGAAAATTAAATAATAAAGCGTGAACTCAGGCTCGTTATCCAGCCTGAACCCTTGAGAAGGAGTTCTTTCTCCCTTGGATCCAGTTGGCAGAAATGTGCAAGCACGGTATGGATTTAGGTGTGTGCTTTTTATTCTGAGATGAAAGGTTGCATATGGGATTAATGCTCTGGCTTGATCATGCTGTTTTCTCCTGCTTGATATCAGCCACTAATCTGTACAGCGAAGATAGGGTTAATTTAATTTTTAAGGGCACAAGAGGAGTCTAAACAATGTAGCTGGTCTAGGTCTTTGGTGACAGAGATGGGTTTTCATAAAGACAAAACCAGTATGTGCTTTTGAATTTTCAGGCAGATAAACTTGTTGTCCCTCAAAATTAAATCTTATGCATATCACTTGTCTTTTAATGGCATTGATCATTGACGTCAGTAGTTCAATGCTAAGCAGTGAAGTTTAGATTTTAGAAATGCCAGTTCACACTTTGAGAGCACTTGAACTCTATTTTAAACAGCAAAATGTTTTGCATCTGTGAAATACCCAATTGTCATTCGTCATGGACACTTTTTCCACTCTCTCTGTATGATAATTTCTTAATGTAAAATATATATATAATTAACAAATCTATGAAATCTCCTAATATAGTATGTCTGGATACTCTCACTATGTCTCTGGAGTGTTCTTCCAACATTATTGTGCATTTTTTTATGTCTCAGTTATGCCTGAGGGGTATGACAACTTTCTTCAATATGCCTTACAGCATAGCAAGCGTTACCATGGTACCTTTTAACATTTTTTCAATCAGCATATGGAGAAACAAGGGGAAAAAAAAAAGATTTGAGTGAAGAATTTTGGAATGGAATAATGCTAAAATAAACTTGTTATAAAAAATGCTCCATATGATTGATGATAAATTAAAGGAAACAGTCCTGTAATGTATCATCTGTTAGTTAAACATGTGCTCTCATTTATCTACTCAATATATAACCAAAGCCAATTACTGTAAATTAGCAACAACTAATGACAGCCTTTAATTAACTTGAAGCTGTATCCCCTTATTTAAGCCCTCAACATAATATCTGGAAGAGTGGAAAAAAATTAACCTTCAGGGTGTTCAATAATGTACTTTTTCAAAAGGTACAATTAAATTAGAGCCATTGGACTGAACGTGGGAATTGGGAATGTGGTGATTCCACAGAGTTGGCTTGTCAATGCAGTCGGCTCCTTTCTGGAGATGCAGTAGGATGTGAGAGGGAAAAAGTATTCCTGAAGGATATTAAGTGGTTGTAAGGCTCCTCACCATTCAGTTGAAGACTGGTAGAGATGCTTAAACAAATCCATAGTTTACCCAAATTTTCCAAAGCATGAACTTCTCATCACTACCCTGTTTCAAGAGTACCTTACAAAGTGTGAGTTTTGTGATGCTTCCAAGAGATATGCTAGGTAGTAAGGCTTTAAATATGTTTAAATATGCTACTTTTTTTAAATATAGTCAATCATATGATTGAGCTTTTATAAATACAACATGTTCCTTGAAGACATATGGTTTTATCAGCATGGAATGCTTTTTATGTTCAAGTTTCAACTTGTGACAGGATAAGGATGTGTTTTGCTGCAACTGTTGCCCAAAATGAAATTTTTTTAGAAAGTATATAAATTGCTTTATGGATTGTACAACCCAGCAACCAAGTGCTGAACTTACTCTACTCTGGCAATTAAAAGCACAAGTGAAGAAGTTAGACAGTAAGAACATCAAGTTATTTTTGACCCTGTGTTTGCTTTACTTTTAAGGTGACCAAAATTAAGATAAAAGGAAAAATTGTGAAGCTTAGTCTAAAATAGTAGTTCTTCAACATGCTTTTTGGTGAAGCCAAAGTTCTTCCTGCTGCATGAAGCAGATTAAAAGGTAGAATCTGGGTATTTTGCAATACTGCAAATGTAAATGCAAAAGTGAACCTCAGATTTTAAAGTGGAAAAATGTTTCCTTGAACCTTACTTTCCTTGGTGAGTTGTCTTACATTAAACTGCTCTTGTGTTGGCTGTTAATACTGTACGTCTTCTGTGAATGAACAGAGAACTTCAGTATTCAGGGTGACATCTTTGGAAGCATTAAATGCATATGCAAGCACTTTAAAATGGCAGAATGTAATTAGAGCTGTGAGTTTGACAGTAATTCCTACAAAATTACAATATTTTTCACTGTGCAGAAGGCAAAACTAAATGAAATGGATGTTGTTAGCATCTGGTAAGCATGAGCATAGTTTCTTTGAGACGGTTGACTGTCATATTTATGGCACTCTGAGTGAGATCTGCGGCTGTGACTGATTGTGCCTTACCACTCAATTGTTGCCTCTCAATCTGCCCCATTTCTAATTGGACATTAGAGAGGGTACCTCTTTCTGCAGCTTGAAAATATGAGTGGGGAGGAGGTCAAGTTCCCTTTAGTCATTCAATCAGGAGTGCTCCAGTGCAATCATACGTGCAAGACCTATTAGTTGGGAAAGCAGCCGTCTAGTGCTTTCCCAGTGCAAATAATTGCCAGGAACAGAATAGGCTTCTTGAATTAAATTCTCCTCCCCCATTTAAAATCAGGAATAACGCCAGTTTAATTCTGTTCCTGCAGATACTCTGTCTTCTTACTCCTGTTACACCCAGTACTGAGTGCTAACTGCTGGTTTTGCTGCATGTAGGACGCATTAGCACACACTTCCTAGTGCTGAAAGAAGATTCATGATTTGAGGTGGGTTATTTGCATAAATTCCTTGCATTCTTGGCTCTCCATGAATTTCTCTCATTTGTGTGCTGAAGAGTTGTGTACACAACATAAGGGTGAAAAAGAACATGTTCCTTTTTTAGCCTATAGGCCAAAACGTGCATTTACTCCCTTACTACTTTCCATACATCACAGGTATCCTTTCAGGGTGGTTTAGCTCTGTGAGAAGCCCTCAGCAATATGGGATTTTCTTTGACTGCAAAACTTCTGCTGCAGGTCGTTTGGGTTTTTTTTAATCTGTTTTCATGCAGTGTATTCTATAATGGTGTTACAGTGCATGACATATGTCATGAAATATGAATAGCAAAGATGATCAGAATTAGAAGGAAGATAATGGTAGCAGGGTTCAGGTTTGGTTTTAAATTAATCTAGACATTCTGATTTACTGACTTTAAAACAAGCCTTCTGAAGCAAATGAGAAAAATTTCTATAATCTTGTACTATTTCCACATAATTGTTAATTAATGGGCTTCACTGAACTTAACTGACTTCTTAAAAATATTATAAATGAGACAAGCATGTATTTGCTTGTTTCTGATCTTTGTCTTAGATATTTTACAAAGCAAATCCTATCCTAGTGCATAGTAAGCAATAAAAGATTTAATGAGAGAACTGAAATAGAATTCCGTTTTATGCTTACATGGTGTATTTTTATTAACTAATTTATTCCAAAAGGTTTGTTAGCTTCTCACAATGAAAAAAAAAAAAAAAAATTCAAAGAAAATATGATACCTCTTCTGAAGTGTTTATAATGTAGTATCTGTATGCATCACAATAAATCCCAGTAAATGTTGTGGGGCCCTGCACAGGTGAAAAGGTCTGCTGCAGGACTGGTTGTGGAGTTGCCTCTCAGATTCTCATAGGATGTAATAAAGAAAGAGAATTCACATGACTTTCCCTGCCCCCTCTCCCCTCCAAATGAAAGCTAGTATATTGCATATATGACAAATACTTTAATATGTGAAGTAAATACCTGGAGTCTCTTAGGTGTGGAGTTTCTAGAACACTGAAACTGCTTATGAAAAAAACTCTATGGATAAGTTTTCTGAGTGGTTATGGTGGCATGTAGACCTGAAACTGTAGGAATATGTTTTCTTTTGTCTCAGGATATATATATGTTGTTTTGGTTTCTTGTGGTTTTTTTTCTTTTATTTTTATTTTTTCCAAAGCAAATCTTTTATTAAGTATGTATTGTAACTTAGCAATCAGAAGATAATTATGTCTAAAGATGTTTAAAATTCAAGTAGGTTTCAGTTTGTTGGCTTCCCCCCCCACACACATTTCCTCGGTTCTATTTTTGCAGTTGCAGTCCATGTTTCTGCCTTTATTTAGTCAACTATATTTGGCTTGGAAAATGTATCATTACACTATATGCACTGACTAGATAGCTTCCTGTCTTCATATTTTTAAATTGTTGAAATGCAAAAGGCAATAAATGCCCTTATTTTTCCTATTGCCATTTTCCAATACTTACTGTATCATCCTGTGAAATTGTTTAACTGTAACTGCCAACAACTTCTTTGTCAGAGATTTTGCTTTTTGGAGTAAAATTGATAAATAATGATACGTTCCCAGGCTTCCAGCAGAGGTTTTGACTGTGAGAATAGAAAATTATTGAACTCTAATCAAAGTATTTGGGAGTTATGTGTAATTTTAAAGTAATCTAAGCCATTAGGTGGACAAGTTTCTCATCCACCTCTAGTTATAAAAATAACCCCACTCTGTTGTGGTACTCTCTTAGAGAGTAGATTTTACTTATTTGCCACCTGAGGAAACAAGAGGAGAAAAGAGGGAGAATTATCTCTTTAGAAAGATAATAAATATAGAAGGAATGATGATTAAGAGGCCAGGGAGTTGCTGTTCACAGAGCCAGCTACTGAGAGGATTGAATAAGGGGAGAAAGTATACAGCTCTTTTAATGATTAGATGGAATTTGTTTGTTACGAACAAAATTCAAACACTGGAAGTGCTAATATGCAGATAGCTTCTGTCTGAATAATGAATAGGCATTCACTAGATGTAATTCAGCTGCAGTAAAATCTTATCAGCCCTTCACCACGGACTATCTCTTCCCACAGCCTGTAGAGAGAGTTTGGGATGACTAGGTTTCTAACTTTAGCCCCTCCACTAAGTGCCTAAAATTAGGTGGGTTGAAAAATGGACTTAAAGAACATGCCACTCAATGGAAAAGCTAGCTTTGAACCTGGAAAACTCCCACCTGCAATCTGCATATTAGAGTATCAGAAACATGTGCTATATATGGGTGGGATAAAAACAGTACTGCTGTTTGTGGGCACGTTGCATTTCTGCTGATATTCAGTAGTCATACTTGAGATGGCTTTCTGTGACTATTTAAAACACACAGAGTTCTCATTGGCATATCTTAACTTTCCAAGCAAATATTCATAGATTTTGTTCATCAGCTTTTTTTGTTGCTCAGAAAAGACTTGTGTTGGTCCACCTCTTAATATCTGGGTATTGAATTCTCACAGATACTGCAAATGGCAATAGCGAATTATAAAAGCTAAGTGATCTTGGCCAGCTTTTTAAAATTGAAAATATTTTATCCTCTTTTTTTTTTTTTTTAATCTATAGCATTAACACCGAGAGGATATCCTCTTTTCCATAAAATATGTGGTCAAAAATCTGGCTTGCAACAGTGTCAGCAGTGCCCTTTTTCGAAGTCAGTAACCTCTTTTGAGCTAAACCCTGAAATGAACCTATTGTGGACATGACTAGCATTTTATGACCTGGCCATGATAAATGGAGAATTAGTCCTGTGTTACTCTTCCATTCCAGTTAATCACTTTGCAATTTTGAAACAGCAGAGGGAGATTAGATTACGTTCATTTTTAACATTAGGAAAACTATTTTCTCCTCAGTAATGTCATGCGATTCTTAATATCACACAAGATGTGATGTTACCTAGGAGCTCAGTAATCTTGGCTCCCAGCATTAATAATGTTTAATTATATAATATGATTTATCACTATGTTTGATTAATTTCCTTCGAAATGTAAGGCAAATGTTTTGCAACAATGGAAGCCATTAGTACTGTATCATTGGGACACAGGACAATTTCATGTTCTTTTGATTAATTGTATCTCAGTTGTCCTGTTATAGCAGCATATTTTTGTGCTAGGGATTCAGTGCAGAGGGTGACCAGCGAAGAGAACAAAGGATAAACTTTGCCATTTTCAATTTGATGTTTCATGTGCTCTGCAACACTCCCCTTAGCTTTAAGGCAGGTGGAGGAGGAGAGAAGGAGTAACCTGTTATCCAGACTTTCGTGCTGATTCCTAATTCTTGTCTGAAAGCAGTGCTTTTGAAAAGACCATTCTCAACTCTGAGAGCTTATCCACACTCTCTAAGTACGGCAGTAGGATATTTACTTTGTGTTTTATCAAATTTTCCAACAAATTGTTTAATGCTTTTCTTCGAGGACTTTATTATTTTAAAGTTTACCAATTATTTCTAAATTAAATTTGTCCTATTACAACCATTAATATACATACAAATTTCTGTTTACATTTTCTTCTTCTTGACTGCCTGTATATGATTTTCTCTTTTCCTCTTGTGAGGGCCTTAATTCTTTTTCTCATCAGCATCTGTTTTTTTCTGAAGATACAGCATTTTATATATTTATATTACATGTATATTAATTTACATTACTTGTATATTTAAGTAACAGGGTTTTTAGTTTTTAAATCCCCCTTGGTTCTTTTTCAGTTTCTTTTTTGGTTTGTGATAAGAAACTAATTAATTTCCCTCCCTCCTGTATGCTTGAAATCTGTGGAGAGTGGTTTTTAATGACTTCTGTCTTTTATGTAAAAATAAAATGAGTTTTTATCCTGATAACATTTCAAACACCCAAATTTGTCATTAGGGAATTCTTCAGCTTTCAAGCCTTTCTAAAAGACTATTATTTTTCATTATGAATGAGAGTTAAAATCTTCATTAGTTGTGCCTATGCTTGGATAAAAGATATGAAGCTGTTATATCTGCTACTAAGAATGATGTAACTGATCTGGTATTTAAAAATGCCAGAGTGAGTAGGTAGTTGTGGGAGATAAATATGAACACTTTTAGAAGGTGTCCTGCTTTCCAGTAACCATGGACCTTAATGTACATTTATAGATACCTGAATTTTTAGCATTTATGCGTTGATTTTTTTTCACCAGAGTCTTGTTTGAGTTTCACCTTTTGTATGTGGTATACAAATATTCAAGCAACTAAACAATTACATATAACAGAGTAGTTAGTTAACAGGCATATGAGGCATCAAGCCAAAGATAGAATTTGCAGTGAGTAAACATGGGACAGAAATAGGAATGTGAAGGCGAAGGAATCTATTTTGGAGCATGGAGTTGTTCTTGTGCTTTAAAAACCCTCAGGAACATGTAACAGGGTTTTTTTGAGCTTCACAGCTAAAACTGCTTTGTAGATTTTACACCTTTCAGCGTTCATGTTATTGAAATATTTTGTTTCAAAAGTTTTGCACCACAGACACTACAGTGCATTGCATTTGCTTTGCTTTGCTAATTAATAAACCCTTTTGTTCGTTGCTTGCTATGAGTTTGGATTTTTTTTATCTGGAAGTGATCGTTAGCAGCACATGGAAGATACATGCTGAAAATAAAGTGAAAAAGTTGTTCTACCTTAAGGCTAATATTCGCTATTTTTATTGCACCCAAAGAAGAAAATTCTGTGAGAAGCAGTATTTTTGTGTAATTCCAGCATTAGTCATAAGAGCTATAGCATTAACCAAAGGCTGCACATACACCTACAGTGTAGCATTTTGCTCTTGTGTGCTGGTGCTGTTGGAGTCCTTTCCTCGTTGCCTTGAATGCTGCTCAATTCAGCACTGGATGCTGCAGTCTTGTATTGTGGTGCAGGTCACGTAGCACTGAATGAACAAGGTTGCATGAATAATGTGCTTTTTATTCAGCGATTGGATAAAAATTAAT